TTTTCAGAAATTAGAGATTATTCCTCGACCACTATTTTGACCCAAAAATCCAAATTTGAAGAAAATTGCCGACCCGAAGGTATACTGTAACCTTAATGGGGTACTGGATATTTCAGGAAAAAAAACAGGATATCAGATAAAACAGGATATCAAGAAAGAAGATCATTGATTTTTTGCAATTATTGTGTAGTTCCAGAAAATATCCATACCTCTCCCACGGAAGGGATTTTTTTATAAGACCCACCCCCACCCCTCTGGAAATTCCAATAATGCTTCACACATTTCTTTACATTTTTTGGTCTTACAGAGCCCCCCACCCCCCCAAGAAATTTCAATCCCTTCTGTGGGGGGAGTATGGATATTTTCTGGACCTGCACATTGGAATTAACAGGATGCAGAATATTTACCCCAAAAACAAATGGAATGTGAGATACTCAGACTATGTGAGATACTCAGACTATGTGAGATACTCAGACTATGTGAGATACTCAGTTGTCATAGCATGACAACTCAGGGTGGGATGCAGTGGCAGATCTAGGGGAGGGGCCTGCCCCCCCCCCCCTTATTTTGGGTAAAAAAAAGAGAAGAAATCACAGAGGGAAGAAAAAAGTTCCTAGGCCTAATTATTTCACCACAGTCAATCATTTTGGGTCACGTGGTCTGGGTGAAGTGTGGGCTACTCCAGGCCATTTGTCTGGGACAAGTCACCGAAATCAATTGACCACGAAGGCCTGGGAGAAAGCCATACAGGAACTAGGCAACACATGCATCAGAAAGTTAGGATTGGATGAGGAAGTTAAACAAGACTCTACTTGATAATATCAACTTATATGATGATAACAAAAGAGAAGAAGAAGATTGGATGGTGTGGAAATTACTGAGCTGAATACATGTAGTAATATTTTTAGTTAATATTTTCAATGATATACCAATTCTGAGATGACTCGTCTTTAAACCTTGTTATGTTTTAATGTCATAAAAAAATTATAATAATATTCAACACCCTTACCTGACAGAGAGAGAGAAATCGCCTGATAAGTAACAAAGTAAACAAAAATGGAAAAAAATTATTAACAGAGCCAACAACTTAATGCTACAGAAGAAAACAAACTATGGTGATGACTATGGCAAGTGATACTAAATTTGGGCAAATGTGGTGGAAACAGTACTGTTGGCTTATTCAGTGTCTTGAGGTCTAAAACAGGTAACAATATAACAACTGATTTTAACATGCACATACAGTAACAGTGCTTGTCACTATAGGTGGGCAGGGATGGCACAGTGGTGAGAGTACCTGTCAACCACCAATTATGTGGCTCAGGTTCGAATCCTGAACTTCAAGCACCACACGTTGTTTTGAGCTTGTTATTGGTTCTCGTCTTGCTCCAAAGATTTTTCTCTTGGTTTTTCTTTCTCCACAAAAACCACCACTTCTAAAATTCTAATTAGATTTGGAAACAGTGGACAAAGAGCCTCTCTCTGGAATGTGCCAAAGAAAATTCCATGTATGTATTGATTCTGAATATATTATTTATATCTTAATGATACCTGGTGAACTTTCACTTTCTCGTATGAGGAAGGCACCCTCACACCGCACCTGCAAAAGGGCTTCTTCTGCTTGATTTCTTGTTATCTTTCCATGGAACCATCTGTAATTTTAGGGAATAATCAGTTTGCTATTTTCTAAAATTGTTCCTTAATCATTAGGCTGTCGATTTTAACACTTAATAAACATATTGCTGATTCTATTCTGAGGCACGCATCTTGGCACATAAACATGCAGAAAAAGATTAAGGCCATTTATACACTCAGAGTTTTTAGTTCAGAGGTTCTGAATAACTAAAATCAGCCACTCAGATTGCTCTGTTGCTAGTCTGATATATTTTCCAATTATGGATCAAGCCCCATCTCAAATGATCACATGATCCTGTCTTACACGTTTTTCTTTTCAGGTGTGCAATATTTTTTCCCAAAAACTGCTCATTTTATCACATATAAATCGATAAAACAGAAACTTAACAGAAACAGAGACCAACAGCACGGTATGGATCAAGTTTGGTGATCTTTTACATTAAAAAAATTGGGTTTTGTATACACTATTCGTCAGACAATGATTAACTGGCAGTTGTTGAGAGGTTATTTTGGCAGTTGGGACGACATTGCTGTTGTGGAGAGGTGGCTGCTGTAGAGAGGTTACAACAACCTCGTTCCCAGGATCTCTCATCTTACGCCCCCTGGAGCGAGCGAGGAGAGACCCTGGTTGGGTCTGGTCCTGTGCCACTTTGACAATTAAGAACATCAGGGAGGGGTCCTCTGTAATCAGCAATTTGTCGTGTTGTATTGAGCTTTGTCAATGTCGAATTCAATGTATCGCGCTGCGACTGCCATAACCCGCGGCGTTGAAATTTGGAATAATATCTATTCCAACGTTTACCTAAAGGTTAAGCAAGTCTGTCTGGAGGCAATTTAATGTGGTCGTGATTTTCAATGTTGTCGTCTTACCCACTGGATTTATGGAAAGTCAGTTATATTTCAACCATGGACGTCGAGCAGTGCAATTTAATGCAATTTCATCCCTTAGTAATTGCTGTTTCTCCTTTGAATGTACTCGATCAAATTGATGCAAGAAACATAATATCTCTAGAAGAACATATAGCTTTCTCAAAGTAAAGCTACGGCAGTCTCTGAAGAAAAGCGGGACGAAGATAAA